CTACTCCTATTGTCACTATTTAATCATTCAAAACTCTGTTCTTATTTTCTATTATTGATAAACAACCAGGCGGTACATGTGGGTAAAAACATTTAAAAAAAAAACCCAAAAGGCTAAAAAGAACCAGGCTGAAGGAAGGTTGTTAGACTGAAGAATGCTTGTAAACTACATCTAATGTAACATTTTTATTAACAATGTTGGAGAAAAAGAAAAGGCTGTCATTTGTCAACAATCCTAAACTGAGAGATACTGTCCCATGTCAATACACAAGGCACAACAGGGTAACATAGCGAAAAGATTGAAGTAAGAAAGACATGATCATATTTACAATGACAGGGACAAGAACGTGCAAATGAAGTTCAGCAAAGGGGTGTCATGGATTCATATAAGCTGTGGAAAAAACATCTGTTGACAATCAGAAAGGAGCAATAGCACATTCATTATTACTGAGATCACAAATCAAAACCAGAGTGCCACAAGGCAAAAAAAAGGCAAGGGAGATCCTATAGTTTTTCCTCTCTCAATTAAAACATTTTCAGCTGTGAAAAAAAGAGAAATAATGCCACTGCACAAGGCACTAGCAAATTTCCCACTGGAAAAAAAAAAAGGGTGCCATTGTGATCAAAGGAAAAAAAAAAAAAAAAAAAGGAAAAAGAAAAATCAATTCAAACCAGAACAAGCACACAAAAATAATTATTAGGCTAAAACGGGAATAGCGGAGAGTTTGACTGAAGCAGTTTAGTAATAAAAAAGAACTGTAAAATTAATTGACTGTATCCTACAAACACATGAATGAAAGGTGAACACAAGAGAGGGGGACTTTTTTTACCCCCAAAATTCAGCACTGGCACAGGAATAAAAGGATATTGGCCATGAACAGGCTAGTGCAAAACTCCTAAGACCTCTCAATCACTGGAGGGGTACTCCACAGCTGCTTTTCAGTAAGAGTAAATAACTCCAGTATAAAGTCCAGTTTAGAGTATAGCTTGATAAAACACTGCTGCTTTCAGACTGAGAGCCACTGAAGTGAGGGGAAAAAAAAATTAAAGTTGTTCTGCTATATATAATCATAACTGTCATGTTAAAGTGAGTCCAAATTGTCAAGTTTTTCTTCTCTTAAACTCACCATTTAATCACAAATATGTAAAACATGACAGATATGCTCCTTAAATTACATACCAAAGTACCACAGTTAAAAGTTCCCACCTACCTGATGCTTTCTAAAGCAACCTCCCCAATTATTTCCTCAACAGAACAAAAAAAAAAAAATCTCAACAAGAACGAGAGTGATGAACAGAACAAACACTAGAGCTACGCTGAATACAAATTGCAGACACATCCACTCTGAGCTCAAATTGAATCCATACTGCTACTTGTGGGCAATACCGTCTGCTCCAGCCATCTGTTTTGAATGAACCTGGGAATAAAAGATCTTGGTAACACCCAAAACTTCAGTTAAACAAATAATTCTCTTCCCCCTTTGTGTTTAAATGAGATATGCTCCTAATCCCTCCAATCCCTGGTTGAGCAGCTGACAGACAGAAAAGGCAGTAGACCACAGGCCTTCAGCAGAAGCAGGATCCTCCTGGCCTCACCCAGCTGTACCCAGCAGTGGTACCTTCAGCCAGAAGAGCGGCACGCACGCAACTCCACATACCAACAAACCAAATTGTGATTTGTGCTGGCTTGCTCCTCCTGCTGTGCTAATTCCATTTGAGCGTAACAGAACAATTCAGCCAGAAACCCCCTACTGATGGGGTCCCATTCCCAAGCTGTTTCCCTTCTGTCTGTGGGTGAAGCAGTCATGCCTTCATCATATTCTATGGTACATACCTCTACCCAGACCTAAAAAAACAGTACAAGTGGGGAGATGAGTCATAGCTTTGGGAGCCCTTCTCTGTCACTTCCCCAGAAAGCTGCCTCTAATGCCCCCAATGTGTCACATTCTATATTTTTCAATCAATTACATTGATCTGTGGCTGGCTTGGTTCATCTGTTGACCAAAAAACCACCGTCTGCATCAAGGTACTGGAGCAGCTGTTTAATGTAATTAACTGTGTATGGGCAAGGGGAAAGAAGAATTCAAAGGGACACTGCAGAGGGCAGAGAAGGGATTTCAGAATTGTCCAAATTCGTCACCTATTTAACTGGCAGCAACAGGACACACTCGAAAATTAGGACATGACCTGAAGGCATATCTGTTGCCATGAAAGGGGAAAACATGTAGATTAGAATGAAAACAGATCAAGAAAAGAGCATTAGCAATGAAACTAAAGGAAAAATGTTGCCTAATCAAATTGTTAGTATCCAACAAAAAATGACTGCCATTTTTCCCTCTGAAGATCTGGAGAATATACAATGTTTCTCTGCTTCTCCAACAAATAATTATAGGGCTTTAAACTGAAATGTGCTGTACCTTGCACTGTTAGGAGAAAGGCAGTACTTACTTACCCGGGTAAATTTCTTTATGGATACAGTCTGCCTGTCTGTCTCATTCTCTCTCTCACATACACACACACAATATTTCACTGAAATGATGCCAATTATTTTATCTGTCATGCTTTGAATCTTGTAAATGTACAATTCAAGCATGATATAGGATGGTAGTGGGAATAAAAGGGGGATTTTTTTTTTTTTTTAATTTAGGGGGAAAAGAAGAAAAGCACCAGCAACAGGTTTTCTGACAATGAAGCCTTGTATTAATTAATACAAATATTTTCACTACATAAAAGATTCATACTACCCTAACTTGGGCTCTTGTTGAGACACCCAAGCTGGAAGGGACACCTCAAGCTCTCTTAAAACTGACTGTGGAGGGGAAAGGGGCACACTCAGATCAGCAATTCTCATCAGATACCCCCCCTTCCCCACTGACTATCAGAGAAACACAAGCACACGTTTCTAACTTCAGCACCTCAGATGAATGTCTGTACTGGATGTGCTGAACCCAGGCCAAAGTCTGTAACAAAACTCTTGTTACAGGGTAGTAAAAATATATCTGTAAACAGCGTAGTAAAAATGTATCTATAAATATAATTTAAGTAAATATACATCTCTCTTATACACAGTAATTGCCTTTCACGTTTCTTCTCATCACCAATGCTACTGGCGTAAGAGAAATTCAACGACTAAGAGGGAAAAATAAGAGCAACTTTTGTCATTTAGGTATCAGCAAAGTGTAGAATAAGGATATACAAGAACTAAGGGAAGCTCCCTACCAAAATCAATGAAAAAAAAAAATTCTGAATCTACTCCTTTGCCCCAAATAAAAACATAATTGTAACAAAATGATTAACAGCAAAAGTTGCCACGCATCCCTTTGCGGTGAAACTCGCCTTTTACTGAGGGCCTTATCCCTCACACTGTGATGTCAACAGAAAGACATCCAGTGATGGCAGCCAGTGGCAGGTCACGTGGCAGACAGCAGCCCTCAAGTCTCCTACCTGTTTGCACAGCTTATGTCTCTCAAGGCTGAGCAAAAGCAACAGACAGGGTTGATTATTCTTTAGACTATTTTTATAGCTTGAAAGTAAACTTCAAGGCTGCAAACCCTCAAATATTTGCAGACTGATTTGACAAGTCATAGCACTCCCTGCCTGTTTCTACTTTTTCAATCTGCAAATGAAATCCAACTGCTCTGCTCATATGCAAGGAAAACCTAAGTTCCTACAGTGTGTATTCAGTGTAAAAGATAACTTCTTACAGTCATTCAAAAGCAGTAAAAGACTCTTAGCTCTTTTCTCCTTCTTTCTCACAGACTTTCCCTTCTGTTCAATAAGGAACCACAAATTATATACTTTTTTGTTGATATAGTTTAATCTTAAACAAAAATAGAAAGAAGCAGAAATTAAAACATCAACCTTGATGTCCTTGACCACCACTTAGTTGACACTGTAATTCACTGAATTTAGCCTGTCACCATCTGGGATAAAGATCTGTTCAGAAGCAACACTCAGCTAAGAGGAAATTTCAAAGCCTCCTTATGGAAACATTAGTCTTCCATTTGGAGTGTGGTTTTACATTAAGGGTGTAGCTGTAGTCAGTCCTGTGCAATGCTAATGGGAATTCACGATGAAACCATTCTTCCCCTATAATTAAATCCCAAAGAAGAGCATTCCCAAATGTATTGCATAGGAGTATAAATCATAGCTGTGCCTCATGTCTGCTTCTGGTTTTAAACTACTTCACACATGTGGTGAGATTCAAAATTCAGTGTATAAACACCTCCTGCAAACCCAGAGATCCAGGCAAGGGAACCTAGAGAGCTGCTGAACTAAGCAGATATAAATACCGTCTATAGTTTAGCGTGTGTTGCATTTCCCCCTGGACTCTATGGACCAGCCTGGCTAGATCACCATTGATTGTAACAGAGCTTTGACAACAACTTCATATACAAACACAGACAGGGACTTTGACATTCGTTTGCTTTGTTGCAAAATCACCAAGTGTAAAGTGCCCAAGATAGCCCCACTCAGAAGCGGGGGACACAGCAGAAACTACCACCACCTTGCCAAGCACCTCTGAGGAAAGCTCACGCTGCCTCCAGCCAAGCCACTGGGAATTCCTGCTTCAGGCTCAACGCTCAAACTGTGCACATCTCCCATCTTTGCTCTGCTCTGCAATCACTGCTTCATCTGTGTATCATATCATATTCCTGCAACCAGAAGTGCCAAATCCCAGACATCTTCACAAGTCCTGTTCCCCAGCATCACACTGATATAGGAAGACATCTACCTACCAGGTATAAGCAGGGAGTGAGAATTAAGACTGCAAATTAACATACACATAAACCACTTCAACAAGACTAAAATCTGACTATAAAACACACAAGTTTTGCCTGTGTGCCATGTCTTTGTCTTGTGTTTCCTGGACGCTAGAAAATCTTCAGTTTATGCAAATCCATTTTAACATCTAAACCTCTGAAAATGGAGAACAATGTGAAGATAAATTAAAAGCCAAGTTCCAATACACGAATACAACTATCTATGTTTTTAGCATACCAGGCAATATTCTTCCAATAAGAGCATCTAGCAACCAAAAGGACTCCTCTTCATTCTTCGTAATAAGAATCAGGTATCCAGCTATGAAGTTCATGCCCTGAAAAAGAAAGAAGTGTTTCAAGATGCATACATTTATCTTAAGACTTTCTAGTTCATTTCTTTTGATTAAAGGCTAAATTACTACTGTTCTACAAAGCGGGTATGTTAAGTAAAATCTAATTATAAAGGCCACCAGTTGAGCAAGCTGTTAAACCTGCATGATGACAGCTAACAAGAACTATTAACAAAGATCAAAGTGAGGAAAATTAAAAGAAAAATATTAGTAGTCTTTAATTTAGCTTTAATTTTTTTAAAATTTTTTGGTTAAATCCCAAAGCCCTGTCCCAATGTAACTGAAAACTGCTTTGACCAGAACCAAAACCCAGCTGTATTAGACGTGCAGTACAAACACACCTGGAGGTAGACAGTGTGGCTATGGAAGGAGAATGCCTGACCCAAACACTCTTTACTAAAAACTTGCAGCCCCAGCAGCTTTTACAAGCTGTTGCTGCTTTACTCATCAAATGACTGTATATAAATCATTGGCTTCCATAATACCTACAGTACTTCACATGATAGTCAATGACTGGCCACTATAGCTCCTGCCTTTTAACATGCAAACAGAAGGTAAACACCAGGGGGTGGGAGGATTGGAAGAGCTACCAGAAAATTTGTGAAAAGTAGTCAAGTCATGACTGGGCAAATTCCAACTGTGCAGTTTTTGTAACTATTACTGACACTCTCTGGCAGGAGAAGTGACATACAGAACAGAGTTTCACAAACTGGTATTCCCTGTAAACACATTGTCTCTGTTTCAGACATTCTTTTTCTTGTATCCACCATAACACTGTTAAGTAATGGCAATATTACCGATTTACATGCCTAAGAAAGTGAACTAGCGTGCATTTTTTTAAGATGTCTCTTCCATTGTAAACAAGGTAACAACCCTAATAATATAGGCAGCACATCCAAACAACAATATACAAAAGCTGTCTCTTGAGGTGCAAGCCCTCCCTCAAAGTCTTCCTAAGCTAACAGAAAATGACACTTAAATATTTACAGGCTATGAAGACTGGTGTTGGTTACATTGCTTTCTTTGGTCTCATCCCTTTTTTCGGCCTTCTCCCTCTTCCCTCTTGCTCCAGGCTGGGCTTCTCCAGCACGCCTGTTGCCACAGGCAGCACCACTGTCTCCAGGTATCCTGCAGTGCTGCCAAGCGTGGCGCTGTGAGCCAGACCAGAGCTACCAAGAACATTGCCCCTCCCAACCCCGGGGAAGCTACAACCTCCCCTCTGAACTCAGATCTCCTTTCTTGTGTTCAACTGATTTGACCCATCTGTCCCACCTCAGAAGGCCTTGCGACACTCCCACAACATGGAAATATTAGGACACTGCATCTTCTCCAATGTTTCATTATCAAGTTTTGAGTCGCAACAGCAGTTGCTACAAATGGACTGCACAGACCTTGCACGGCCTTACGCTGTGCTTGGCCTTCTAGTTAGGAAGGCAAATATTTGTTTCCCTGCTGACAGTTAGCTTAGTAATTACATCTACTGTGACAGGAGACTGTTTGGCATTTAACACGGCATGCACAAAAAAATTACTCTGGAGCATATATTCACAGGACACTGAATTTTGCTGGTTATACCAGGGTGGGCAACACCGTACCACTGTCACAGCATGACAGTGCAATGCCTGACACACGCCCCGATGGGAGATTTCAATTCCAGAAAGTACCACAAATGAACTAGCATGATGGAAACATCCCCTGAAGAGCCTTCAGTCAGTAAAAACTCTGCAAAACACTTGGGGAAAAAAATAAAAATCCATTCTTCACTGAGTTTTCTAACATTTACAGGGTCTCTCATCATGCAGTGGGTATCATTCTATCTATCTTGATGAAGTCTGCTGCTTCACTAGCAGAAAAGGTGATTTTCTGAAACTTTGCTTCACTTACAACATGCCTTGTAAAGCAGATGTTGACCTTTGGTTTATGTTCTAATTATTTAGCCAGAAAAGATAACATTCATCCAGTGAGGAGACCAGAGGTGAAGGGAAATCACATAAGGCTTTTTAAGTATTCTTTCACCTCCAGTGTTCATAATGCCAATTAAAATGCAGATTAGCCCATTAAACAGTTAATGTATCAAAACTTTTTACTAACAATTGGACATACATTTTGAGTAGAAGCTATCATGGTTTAGAAGTTGTCCACTGTTGTGGATATAACTACCTTTATATATGAGCCTGATACTTGCAAAAGAGTGTTCATAATTCTACCCCTTCTGTTATTCTCAAAGTATTAAAATTATATTTTAATAAGCAATACTGAAAATAATAAAAATCATTCATATTTTACTCCCATTCTTCAAACAATTTCTGTACTAAAACTGGTTGGGATACACAACAATTATTTTTTTTAGTGACTTCAGTCTAGGTTTAAGTCCCTCTAAGTCTTCTCATCTCCAGAATTCAATAAATAAAATTCATAGTCTTAACTTTGCAATAGTTGTATTTACTGTACTACCTTTCTCAGCCAACATGAGGTATAGATTAGCATACATATCCTCGGTGAGGAAGGAGAGGAGAGAGGAGAGGACTTACGTGAACTGAAAACACATTTTGCCCATGACAGTTCCTGCTTCTTTATGATCCTTAAAGTTGGCTGCTTTTTTCTTGACTGACATGAATCAAATTTTATCATCTTTGTGTTCCACAGGAAACTTTACAGTACTTGGCAGTGACAACAGAAGCTTCTTTGAGATGCCGTCTAAGCAGTATCAGGTTGAATTTCAGACAAATTTTCTTCCTACTTGCCTGTCTATCCTGATAGAAGGCACCAAATAAATGCTACTACTCCCCCAACTACATGATGTCACATAAATGCCGATCTTCCTGTTTTCACTGTCACATTTTTCAAAATACAAAGGAAATTGAGATCTCATGATGCCTCATACATACCATCGACCGTTTTGGGAAAGATGGCTGGAGGGAGGGAGAAGGAAAGGCAAGCTCACTTTCTCTTTCTCTCCAAAGCAACTGATCTTGATACAAGCATGTGTGATAAAACATTTATTTTGCAGCTAATGAATGGAACCAAACATGATCAAGCTAGTTCCAAAGAAGCCCACAGAGAAACTCACAAGGACATTTCAACTTGCCTGAAGTCATTTGTTCTCCACATACCCCCTCCCCCTGAGGCCATTTGAAAAACAGAAAGTTTGTGGATCTGCTTCTAAAAAACACATATTCAAATGGACAAGAACAATTACCACTGACGAAATGCAGCATTGTTTAAAAAGTGATTACATACCTGACAATATCCTACTGCTTTATTATGATGCCCATATGCTACCAATACGTTGTAGAGTGTATGCTGCAAACAGGGATCAGCAGTTTTGCGGAATTTTACATTATCTGGAAAAGTTCTGTTCATGTCTAGACAAAAAGGAAAGAGACCAAAAATTCACTTTCCAAACAAACTTTTACAGTTCTTCTGAAGTACAGTTGAAACTTCGCTATGGTTCACTAAACTGTAGTTTTGGTGAATGAATTTTAAGAAGCAGCTTTACCTCTATTTCGGCTAAAAGGCCATCTGCATTCAAGGATAATCTATTCCTGGAAAGATTAATGCAATTAGTGTACAGAAATAAACTTCAATGAGGACTGAGGAAATTGTCCTACAGATTGGATTCTCTCAACATCTGACTGCAAAGGCTTAAATGAAAGCAAACCAGACTTTTAGACTGACAAGCAGCACATACCAAATTTATCTAGCCAAGTGGCATGAAATGAGTTGCATCTCTAGGAAAGCATATTCTCAGAACAAATATGATGAACTTTCAATTGACTTGTTCAGTGAACTTCTACCAAACAGTCCCAAACAGCTAAAGAAGTTGTCCTGTTCCTGCAGCTGGTGACTTCCACTTAAAATCACCTCTTAGAAGTTTTAAGTTTCTCCCTGATGTGACTATAAGAGAAGTTGTTTTCATTCATGCAACATCACCAAGGAGAGTGATTTTTGATATCCAAGCAGCAGAGCACATCCCATATGCTTTCAAGCTCAATCCTAAACCAAGTAAGGACTATGCAGTTACTGATACTTCAAAACAGTAATTTCTTCCAGACCAAACATGAATAGTAGGACTCATGCCTCCTTATAAAGGTCTAAATATTAGACATGCAAGTTTGAGCTAGTCACCCAAAACTCCCTTTAGTTATTGTAAAGAAACAGGCAGAGTTAATTTTTGGCCTGCTTCGCTCTATAAAGAGGGAAGCCAGGGTCACTAGTCCAGACTTGTGCATCTGATTTTTAGAAGTTTAAGTTGGGGAGAAAAATCCTATTCAAAAGTAACTTTGAAGATTTTCAAAACCCAAGACTTGTTAATAAAATACAAATAGTTGTTTTGGTTATATTTAACAACAAAGAACTGGGTTAAAGTTAAAAAAAATAAAGTTCAGTAACAGCACTACTGTACAGATATCCATGTCCTAAGAGTTATCACTTCTCATCAGCCTTTTCCTGCATAAAGGAAGAAGTCTGTTATAGCTCTGACACAAAGTTGAGCTGTAAGCAACCAAAGAGAGCTCCTCAAAATCACAAGTACTGTAATGGGAGTCACAAGCATTAGAAAGTTATTGTGCTAATCACTATTTCTTCCTTTTAAATTGAACAAATCATCTACAGAAATGGGAGGGCAGGGATATATTTCACTTCACCTCTCATGTGACTGAAAACACAAGGGAAAAAAGACAATTTTTAAAAGGACTTGAGCAACAGCCAGTTATAGGAAAGATCAATTTTGTTTCTTCTCGGTAGGAAGAGCAGCATAGTATTTCCATAATTGTGTTGTTTATTAAAGTATATGCTGGATGTTACAGAAAAGATTAATGCTGACATTTCAGTTACAGCTCTTCCCCTCAGCTATGTATAACAGGGGGGAGTACAAAGAGTCCAACACATACAGAGCAGAGACTGCTCAAGCTGAACTCATCGTTAATTTCACAACCTGAGGAAGGCCTGCAGTTGAGAGAACTGGTTCAAATTTGCTTTCTGATTACAGACCATGTTTTTTCCCCACAAGGACTGGGGAAAATCTTTCCTAATTTTATAAAGGATTTAAAAATTTTCTTTCTATTTAATATTTTAGTTTGGGGAGAGGTGATGGGGACAAAAACAAGATACAAGAGCTAGAAGTCTTTCTCCTTAATAGAAGATACAGGGCACGGACTCACAGGACTCCTTGTACCAGATAATTATCTTGAGCACACCAAGAGCAGGGGGTCTTGCTTCCTTTCCATCCTCCCCTTTCTATTCTGTTTGCATGCTCTCCCTCTTCCTCCAGCTCTGAGGCTCCTCAGACTGCAAGGCAAGGGAAATCAACCTGCTCCCCAAATGCACACAAACTGGTATGTTTTACCATACTAAAAACAACTGCCAGAGATTACTTGAGGGAAACAATAGGAGCTAGTGAAAGCTGCTCGTTTGACTTGAGTACTTACCCCCACTTTACTACACCTGTCCCAAAGGGGACATCCCCAAACACCACCTTCCCCCTCTCTGTGCAGCCTACCCTCAGACCTACTTCATTCTTGATAGACATTACTGACCAAAGGAACATAGCCTCAAACTAGTTCAGTTTGGGGAAAAAAACCCCAAAGCATCAAAATTGTTTTCAAGCAGAAAAGTGAACATTAGAACTTTATACTGCTAGCCAAACCCCAAAACTATGACCATTTTGTGGTTGTGTGCACATCTGCTGGCTATAACCAAACTAGGTACAGGAGCACGGGACCAGGAAGGAGGCCACAAGGAAAAGACTAGCTGCTCCTTTGCAGTAAATTCAGATTAAATCCCAATAGAATTTTTTATTAGATGATCTTTCACTACTGTGAGGTTGCAGAGTTATGCTGCTGTGGAACAAAACCAGCAGCTTTCCTTTCCCCTTGATTTATCTCTGTGTAGCAACTATGAGAAGACCACTGTCTTGTTTCTTCCCTTTCCCAGGCCTGAAGTATTTCTACCTCTCCTTCAGTAATACATAGGCAGAAAGCCACATTAGCCTCAGTTTATAAAACAGATACCTGTTTTGGTACCTGGAATCACAATTGTTGATGCTATTTCTGGAGCAAATGTGCAGTCCAGAAAAGTAATGCTTTTGTACCAGTCTTGTGTTTTTCATAGTTAGGGTTCTTCAGAAGTCAGGCACCTTCAGTCAACTTCTTCATCTTGCTATCTCATCCTTTCTGTTCTTACATTCATACCCAGGTGCTGCCCACTCCCACACACAGTGCCCAGTAAATTACAAGTATTTTTATAATTAACATCCTCTACTCCACTTGACAGTCACTTCTTTGCTACTGCTACATCTGTAACTTGCATCTGCTCTGAATAGCTTCCAGGCAGGTCATTTTTTTATTATTTTTTTTTTTCTTAGAAAAGAGCAGAACAAAAATTCACCTCAGCTGCCAACTACAAGCATTCAAAAACTCCATTGTAAACCTCTAGAATAATGAGGTTAGTTCACCAATTACAACTTGTAAAAATAACACACTTAAAGGGTATTTAAAATTTGTTATAGCTGGATATTTAGGAATCATCGTCAAGCTTTTCCCTACAACACCTGAAACTAGAAATTGCTTTGGAGGCTTGGGGGTTTTCTGGTTTGTTATTTTTTTTTTTAAGTTAAGGTAAAGTTTGCTATCAACTAAAACCAGAAAAACTGAGCCTGACACTCAACCCCGCCACCAGCACCAAGTAACAGTTCAATAGCTTGCAGCAATCAAGAAAGCAAACAGGGATAGGATTTCCTACAAAAGAACAATAATGGCACTGTATAAATCTGAGAAGCATCTGCATAAATTCCAGTCCCCTTCATCTCCAAAAAATGATATCAGAATTGGAGAAACTGAAGAAGAGAATGGCAACCAAGAAGATTGCAGGTATGAAATGGCTACCATACATAGTATAAAACAAGGTGTATTACAGATCCTTTGTTTGGAGGGAGATGCTTATGAGCAAGACAGCACAAATCTGCAAAATCACAAGCAGGGTAAAGACATAAAAAGGAACAACTAGATTTTTTGTGAATTTTTTTTCCCCATCCAGTGTTAACTACAAACATGCGGCATATGACTTAGGAACTCCCCAAACCATAGATAACTGGAGACTAGGAAAAGCATTCTGAGGAAGTACTTTACTCCTCCAGTTCCTCCTTTAGCTGTTCTGGTAGGCAGAAGACCAGATGAGGTAGCTGCTTTGATATGACCTGATATGGCTTCTCTTACAGAGAACCTGAAGAACTGACACTGCTGTTCCCCTTTCTCTTGCACGGTTAAATGCTCTAAACTCACGTGAAAATTCCCAACCTTCACGAATAGTTTAACCCCATTCAGAGAAGCTTATTGGTGCTTTGATGGTAAAATATTCACTGTCTCCAGTGAAGCGGCAATGACTATTGTCTGAATTACTTTTCTGAACCCATCAACTAAACCAAGATCCTGCAACCACTATCCAATCCACACAGTCAGATCCTTATGCCAGCAGTCATGCAGTGTGGCAAAGGATCAGGGGACTGACTGCTAAATATCAGACCCTGGACTTCACAGCACCTACAACTCCTCCTCAAGGAAGGCAAGAGTGGAAACGTGGATATTGGCTGCATGTGCATGAGAAAGGACTTGCAGACACAGACATACTTTGAAATTCAGTGGGACAGCTGAAGTGGGGTTTAGTGCAAGGAAGCTCCATCAACTTACACCCCAGGCTTTCTGTAGCCAGCAAGTAGCCTTTGCATTAGAAGAACAGCTCCAACATCATTTATCCTACTAAACTTTACTATAATAGGGCATGAACAACAAAGCACTGTAGGAATGCATGCCCTTCTAAATGCATATGTAAACTAAGCCATGAAAACTTCCATCAAAATTTAGAGAGCTGCGTTCTTTAAGCTCTTACTTTTATGTTTAGAGTAAGAAGCCTGCTCTCTTACATGTCTCTCTAAAAAAAGTATGTTCAAACAGCAAATATTATAGAAAACAAAATCAGCAATAAAGCCCATCAGTTAAGAATCAGCAAGTTAAAGGGCAAAAATGGTGAAAGGACAATTCAGATTTATTTAGCTGAAAGACTTTTATTGCTATTACTACTCAGAATTTTCTTGAAAGATTAGACCATTTCTCTACATAGTTCACCTGTACTTTTTAACATTATTATATTCCATTAAAGACATTCACTTGTTGAAAATAAGTTCCAAATGTGCATGAAAATTGTTTGGAGCTTCTGGGCATGTAAAAGAAACAGGACAAACTGGCTCTTACACTATTTCAAATTTGATTTAAAACATAAGTCTTTGGTTGGCTTTGTGCTCCTGTCCCTCCCCCTGAAAAAAAAAAAAAAGCAAGCATGGTTGCTGTTCTCTTGTTTTTAAACCACAGCACTGTCCTGGGCTATAACTTTGCAGCTAGACCACAGGACTAACTACAGCACAACTGCCTGAAAATTTTGGACATTACAGACATGAAAAGTGAACTGCAGCAAGATTTCACATCTTACTTTTGTTTAGTGTTAAAAACAACTGCAGTAATGGGAAAACAACATTGGCAGAAACAAAATGAATGTCAGACAATTCACACTGAAACAGACCTCAGCTAAAAGCCCGCTATAAAATTTGCACAGTCAACAGGACACAAAGTTACCTTTCATCTGAAGTACTTTGCTCCTTCCATCCCTCCTATGTCCACATTGTTTCTTCCTTTCTGAAGGGAAATCTATTACTCTGGAGTCAGAGGTCCTCTTTTTTTTTTTTTTTTCCCTCCAATAAAACCCTCCAACCCATTTTTCTTTATCCCTTCCCTCACTTGCTCTTTGTTAGTTTCCTCATCGATGAAGTACCTCTTCCAAAACTTTATTTCCTCCATAATTCACAAACAGATATTTATCGTCTTCCATTATTTTTCCTCCTCCACAGAAATATTTTTATTTCATGGTATAACCTGTGTGAAAAGCCACCCATTGTATGATATGATCCTTCATGCCATCATCTAGTACTGGAAAATAAATTGTTTACAACTCCCTCCTGCAGCATTTATACCCCAAATGAATACAGTTTGATCTTTCTCTAGGCCCTTACCAAGGCCGGCTTTGGAAAGTCACCTTAGTGGCTCCCCCTGTATTCACAGTTAGAGCTCTACTGTTTCTAGTTCCGAGCGGGATATGAACCTGAAAATTCCTGGCTAGTCTTCATAATCACAGGAACATGAGAGTTCATGCTCCAAAATGCCTTCCTAAGGTGTGTAGTCCCAAAAGCCCGCAGTGCTGCTGCTGTTGCAGGGAGAGGCGAAGGAGAAACTCAGCATAAACCAAAAATAGGTCAGATGGTTATCCAACACTAATAAAAATCCATAAAGCCTCAACTTTAACTACCTGGCTTTTTCAAGAGGAAAAATATGACAACTGCACCTGCCATTCTAACAAAACAACCTCAGCATTGTGCTCATCCAGAGCACAGCCCAACCTCTTGACTCATTAATTGGGCAATTCAGCTAATATCAGCCCGTCCTCACAAGCTCTGCTGCAGCAGGTTGAAAAATTTCAGGACAAATATCAGTTACATCAAACTTCTACTGGCTTGTCCTCCCCTACTGCCTCTTTTAAACAACCAGTGGGCCAATCTATGGTCTAGTTACCCTAATAGCCTGTCACTAATATCAGCCACTGATCAACGCTCACAGACAAGCACATATGAAACTGGATTAGTAGGAGGGGTATTTCTCCTCCTACACTTTCCTTCCTTCAGGGATTTATATTTAGTGTTTAGGATTTAATGCATCAAGCGGACTTCCCCACCCATCTGTTTGTCAAATACCTTTTTAAACCAGTTCATACCTCTGGACCCAGCAGTACCCTCCAGTAACAAGTGCCACAATTCAGTGATATGCTCTTCTAAACCTGCAGCGTGACACTTCATTCAGCGTCCTTGGTTCTTAAGTTACAAGAAACAAATGACAATTGCTCCCCATTCACCCTTCCTACACCATTTATAATTCATATAGTTCTATCAGAAGCTTCTTCTCAGCAGTCTTCTTCTACAAGCTGAAATCCTAGAATATCTCACCTGCCTCATATGGGCAGTGCACCACATCTTCAGCCATCCCTGCCGCTCTTCCAGTGTCCTACTGGGACAGAAATTAGGAGAAAAAGACCCAAAGGCAGGTCTCATGGTACAAAGTTATAACTCTTCAATCACTTAGGAGATGACATAATAACGTTTTCTAGTTTGTTCTCTGTTCCTTCCCGAATAATTTCTAATATTCCTTAATGCTTTTGACCACATGATGAACCTGGAAAGATCTGTGCTGTTAAAGAGCTTACAGCTAAACTAATTTGCATGTTATTTCAGCACTTAAGCCACTGCTACAGAAACTTAAGTTTTCCATGACATAACTCGATCTCTAACATTTAAGGACACAGGACAGATAAACATAGATAAACAGCGTTATCAAGACAATAACCTGTTTTGATTGCTTCAACCAGCTTGTCATTCTTCTCTCCTTCAAGCAGTCTGTGGTAATATCCAGGGTTTTGTTCCATATTGGTTTGAGCCCCACTCACAATCATCCAGATCAATGCACGGTGCTCACTGGGGATGCCTTTCCTGATATATCTTTTCACTGCAAAACAAGAAGTATGGTGTGTTTGTTGTTTTTTGTTGTTGTTTGGGTTTTTTAAAAATAAATAAAAGAATCCAGCTGTATTTCCCTTCTGAAATGCGCAACAGAAAATTGAGAAAAACTCTTGACTAGAGATTATTATGCTTTCTCTCCTACACTGCCATTTAGGATAAGCATTTCCTTATCACCTACACACTGCATTTTAGAGTCACTCCTAAATTCTTGCCACTCAGACTTGCCACACAGATCTCCAGACCCAGGCTTTCCTCCCTCCTTTATTCCCCCATTAGGATTTTGAATCCTTTCTTCTTCCTGCCTTGCTGGATGAAAATATGAACATCAACGTTTCCCCTCGATCTCTGTCCCTTCTCATTCAGAGGAGCACTGACTTACTGACTTTTTCTTTCACTACATTAACAATGGCTTCTGACATGACAGCTCCTTCCATTTGCTTGGTTATGCTCTAGCATAAATGGCTATGTTAACAGAACCCGAGAATTTCAGTTTAGCACCTAGCCACTGAAATCACAGCAGAAACTGATAAATATGAAATATGTGGTTACTTTCTAAATGAGACTCTAGAAGAACTGGAGATATGAATGAGCAGCAGATAAATTGTCCTAGAATAACTGGGGAAGTCTTTCCAAATCTAAAGTAGCTCTTATCTCCTGCATCACATTCATCATCAGGGTATGATTTGGGTTTATTTTTTTAAGCAGATGATTCAGTGTAAATAACTAGGATGCAAGATGGCTGGAAGAAGCATCAGGCTAATGACAGCCAAAGCAGCTCCCTCCTGGGAATGGTATGCAAAAATATTAATAAGGAGCCAATGCTACCATTGGTACATAATCCTAAATCAGCATGACCCCTTCTGACAAAGGAACCAAAAATTTCTTACTAAATGAATGAGATAGTATCAATTAGAGTATCAACTTGTCCTCCCTAAATTCTATGGGGCTCAAATGAGAGTGGGGATTATTGCTCCACCCACCCACACAAAGTATCATTACCTAAGCTGGTTTTATCCAGTCATAAAGATCTGTACCTTGAGATAAACACTGCCTGTATTAAAGGCCATAAAAACAGCAGAGTGAAACAAGTTTTTACAATAACTCAGCCAGCCACCTTCCAAATACATTCCACCTAATTGCAGCTGCCTATGCTTTAGGAGCCCAAGCTATTTTCCCAGTGTCAAGAGAGAGATCCGTGCATCTCTAATGGGCATTTTACCCACCTAAAACCTGGTACTTTCTCTCAGAGAAACACTCCTACCCTTAACAGTTGCAATAAACACCTGGTCCTCAGGGTACAGTATTTGTTTAGCTTTTTGATGAGGATTTATACTCTGGGTTACAGTCTCTACTGTTCTAGCTGCAAAGTAACTTTAACCTTCTTTTAGACAGATTGGAAATTATTTACTTGTTTTCATGCTTGTTTAATAATCCCGACTTCATCTTTTTTTACAAGATTTTGAACTCTATCACTCGAGAAATCCTGTAGATGGACATAGCAAATGTCAGAATGAGTATGAGGAGCCAGTCCCATTTAGGTCAACCAGAAGAGATCAGGATAAACCTGCAAATGTCTCTAGAAGCAAATTTACTGGCTAAATTACTGGATTATCATATTCTAACATAGCCTTTTTTTGTGGAACAACTGTCAATTCTGAAAGCACAGCCAACAGCCACATCCAACAATACACATTACATTCAAGAGAAGCAGGGACAAGCCTCTGACACTGGCACAAGGGGAAAGCAGCCCTGCAGCACAGCATACGTTCGTTATTTCTCAGCGTCATCGTTCTCATGGTAAGACAGCCAGAGGCTCATATCACCCCAAGTGACTACCTACCCCAGCTCCCCCCATGCCCTGAGGAATGGAAAAGTCCTTTACACAGTGCTTTTCTTCCTCACATCATTATCATACTTGCCAATATCTGCAAACTGACATACAGAAGCAGCGCAGTAGTTTTAAAAATAAGGACAGTTGCAATTTAATACGTTTTATATATACATTTATTACTTATGTGTCATATTCTATACATAAAATTGTTTTATACAAATAGGTGTTTATTTTGTTTTCTATAGGCTTTCTTCCACATTATCCTTAGGAACTAAAAAGCCCACAACAACAGTCCACACCACAGAATATCCTCCCACTGTAACATTTAAGAAGCTCTCACAGATGAAGCCAGATTGTGCATGTGTCTCCAATCACACATCCAACTCCAATTGTAAACCAAGGACTTGATCTCAAAAGTAGCACTGCTGAATACCAAGCCCTGAGTATCCGCATGCAGAATCACTCCCAGGACAACCACAGTGTACACAATGCAGTCTAAATCTTCAAAACATGCGTAGTAAAGAAATATCTCTACATTAAATTTTTGCCTCTCTTCATTAATAAAATATGAAGCATCAATTTTTAAGCAAACAAAAGCTGTCTTAATTCCATTACCTCTGACACTCCAGGTCAGTTTCTACAGATTTAAATTCACACTTTATTAGTATGTTTTTCTTGGTACAAGAGAAAACAGCTATGTGATAGAGTAGCAGTCTAGAGGTGCTGATAAATACCCAAAGTAACTTCAAGAGAAAAATATACAGAAAATAACATTTTCCAATACTGTGCACTGTTTATAGTGACAAGATCCAAAACACAGTAAACCACCTTAAACCTGCCTGTCCTTGTTTAATGGTAGAATATGAGAATTTTGGAGGTTTTTGCTCCTAGATAAAGTTGTCTTTACTTTCCCCCCCCATTAACTTTGTTTCACTCTACACCATAGACTAAGTTTGCGTAGGAAAATCCCATATAAAAACAAAAAATACCTCATCTAAAATGTTAGAAGAATGTGATTTTGAGAAGCATCGGCACTTCTCAGTTTTTTCAGTTACTAACAATTACTGTTGAACACTGAGGAAACTAACTTGGACCCTAAAGGAAAAAAAAAATATACAAAAGTGCTGAAAACAGCATACAACAAGGAATTGAAAGTTTCATTTTATGAATGCATCACAGAAGAAACAAAGCAGATCTGTGCTGTAAATGTTCAAGTTACAGTCAAACACAAAAACTGACTTTCTAAGATGCTCCTTCCTTCCTCCAACCCCTGGGCTGGAACAGAAGTGCTCCTGTTATAACCACGGTTTAGTACCATTACTTTCACCTTTCACTGCATTTTATCAGTTTCAAAGACTATAAAGCACTATTCTGCTACTGGTCAGTTTTGCACTAATCCACTTACAGGCAAATTCTTTTACATAGCACGCTTTTGGTCAGAATTAAGCTACTTTGGGCAATTATGTCAGACAGTTTGTTGCCTGCCTATAAACAAGCCAGAGCAGAAAGCTGTCTTAGTCCCACAAAGATAGCAGCTGAATGGAGAAATGCAAAAATTAAGAGGTTCTCAGTAGTGGTGGTAGAGAGAGAGGAGGCGGCAAGTGACCAAACACTGACTGAAAATTCACATGTGCAGAAGAGACTGTGAAGATACCAAGGGCAGAGGAGGTAGAAAATAGCAGAAAATAACAAAAAGGAAGAGACTGGAGAACAAGCAAAAGGAACTGTTCAGCCAAAATTCCATGAGCCAACCTGTCGGAAGACTGTAATCCAGAACAACAGGATACACTGTTTAATTGCTGTTGTTAAAATGTAGTCTAATTAATTTTCTTTACAGTAGAACAGCATTATACACATACATACCACCCTGGATGCGAGGCAAACACAGTGCCATGTGAACGTGCCACATTTCCAAACTGGAAAATTAACATAAGTCATCAATCACTTCTTCCTGTTCACCAGGACAAGAATTACGAGCTTCTCTATGTGTAAAGGCAAATGGGTGTGGAGCTACTGAGATATCACACGTACAATGCCTCTCTCATCTACTCATAGGAGGACACATTTTGAAAAAGCCCCAGCAGAACTCAAAATAAGGATAAGGGTTCGCAAATACAACTACTGCGCTCAGGGAGGAAGCGGCAAGTCAAATATTCCTCTCAGATCTAGCTTATGGCCGACTTGTATCAGAGGGGAAGTTAATAAGAACCAGAAGCTCCTGAGTAAAGCTTCCTAAGCAATGAAGTCAGGTCCTGGAGGAAGCAAATTCAGTGCATCACCAGGCAGACCTTCTGCTCCCTGACTGCCTGCAAGGAAATCACTGCAGGATCACGTTGCAGGACAAAGCACATACCTAAACAACTGCTTACATAATTCTAAGTGCATATGCCACAAACTTCAATCTTAATACTGATATAAGAAGGGAATTATTCAAAGATCAGTAATTGTACAGATTAACCTGTTGCTCTCTTCTTCTGAGGGATCAGTTAAAGATAATGAAAAAGGCTTATTGTAACAACTCTGAATTTACACTCAGACTACATTTCCTCAAGATTATTTATTCCAGTCACTCTCCTTAGAATTACATTATATATATACATGAGAATGCATAGTCAACAAATCCAAATATCAAATATCTTTAGCAAAAGTTAGTAACATCAAAGATGATGCACCAGCCCATGAGGGCTTGCTACAGTCAAGAGCGATTGCCTGTGTCCACTCAGTGGACTTATGGTATCCCATTTTTTCACAAACAGTAACCTGTTAGAGACAATTAAAACCACATTAATGGTTACTGCCATTACATGGCTAGCGGGGCAGCATGACCACTGGTACTGAAGCCTGGTGGACAAGTTGAAAGATTTGGTCAAAGTTGTGGCTCTAAAATAAGGCCAGGGACATTCACAGTGTTTGTATCACAGTAGCGTGCTGTGTCTACAATGCTGGAACAGGGAACACAAAGGAGGAGAAATGTAACAAATTCACAGAAACTGATAAAAGCTGCCATTGTCACAGTTCACACATTTTAAGACAAGGAGGAGATGAATCAAAACCTGAGATTATTTCTCCACAAGTAGAAGACTAAATTCTGCAGAATCTCAAAATCCTCACTAATTTAAAATACCACACAGTTATTGCTATATTCAAACTTGACACCCTAAACAAAAGTGTCTTTACATTTGGAAGAAAAAGAAGAGATTAGAATTAGCTGCCTTCTGGTCAGCAGCGTATGATCTAGCAGCTATAGTTCAAACCTACATGTTCTGGGATTCCTCAGCCTTAAAGTGGACAGCCATACACTAAATGTTATACTTAAAATGTCTCACTAGTTATGATCCCATTCTTGGTGCCAAGAAAAAAAAAGACCCCAAAACAACAAAACCACCAGAATTCATTCAAAGTCTGCACCTGAAGCGCAGCTCAAAGTATTCAGCTATATGTTATAGTCAGTGCCTGATTAACTTTTGCTTAGTTTTACTCCCTTCAGCATACTATAGAGATCTCTGCCCAGCTCCAAAAGACTCCCAAGAGAAAGCAAGCTGAATAGCATCATTAAGAGCAAAGAGGAAAACTTAGATATTTATATGAAAAAATAACCTATAGAAAGAGGGAAAGGAAACCCCCCCCTCAAGTTTCACAGGATTCCCTGCCACTTTCTGGCTCCATTTATTTTCCCCTGTCTCTCTTGTAAGATAAAACATTACTAGGGGTTTTCTTGCTTTATGAAGCAGTCGCTAACAGTTCCATCAGCATTTTATCCAATGTTGCATTAGCTCCTGCATTAATTTTACTTTTTTCACCTCATAAGGCATTTAGCATCAGTTCTTAGTACATGCCTTTTAGCTGTGAGGTGATGTCATTTTACAAAAGGAAGATAAGGATAGCTAGACAATCTTAGCAATCTAAAAAACTGTCAGAGTCAGCAACTGAGAGCCCTAACACTCTGATCCCTGTAGTTCAAGACAGTGTCTTTACATAATCTCATGGTTTTTTTAAAGACAGCACAGAGCAGTGTACAACACAACAGCTGTAAAATGGCATTTTGAAGTGCCAGTGGCTATAATCCCTGGGTTACAGATGTAATAAAATATTACAGCATATGACAAAGAAGGATTACTCCTCTGTAAACTTGAAATCAAATCAATGATCCCCCTAGCAGCATACTTGCTTATGTATTATTACTGTTTATACTGCTGCTTTTCATTTGAAGAAAAAATAGTATTTAACATTCAAAAAAGCAAACCAGTTTAATATGATTTATATTGATTCCAACATAATGAACTTTTACCTATAAACAGGCATACAGCTTACCTTTTAAACTCTTCTGTATACTGTTTTTCCCTTTTAGGAGCTTGGACCATTTTATTGCTCTTCTAGTGAGTATCACTAGATATCTGGAAAAGAATGCTTCATAAGATGCATAATCAAAGTCTTCTGGCCTTTCAAACCCATATGGATCAACTCTACAAAATAAAAAAGAATTCTTGTAAAAATGTTTCTACAGAACTACACCCAGGGGAAAAAAAAAAAAAAAAAAAAAAAAAAAAAAAAAAAAAACCACAAAACAACAAAAAACCCCAAACCAATCTATGCAAGTATGTTTTAAATAACTTCCAGTTGCTATTTCTAAAAGCAGCTCAAAACTCCCTCCTCCCCCAAAAAAACCTACTTCACACAAACCACTACACTCCACTTAGCATATCAAAGCTGCCTAAGTAAATGAATTTAAAACATGCACTGTTCAGTCAGTTTTACAGATTTCACTACTTTTAGAAGTAAGACGTTGTTAGAGCAAAATATCTGTTGTGTGCAAAATTGACCCAAATTATGACCACACAGAAGTCTGGCAGGTATTTTTCTCCACAAAACAAACAGTTGATAAGTATGAAAGCATAGCACAACAGCCCAAATATGGCCCGAACTCACTTTCCACACAGTTCTGCACTGAAAAATTACTACAACAAAATTATAAAGTTTATTTTTAAAAGGGGTAATTTCTGAAATTAGCTTCAGTAAAGTATATGGCTTAGAAAAAAAACATAAATCCTTGTGTCAATCTACCTTCTTCATATGTAGTATCAACAGTGCTTATTTTATTATCTTTAACAATTTTTCAATATTACAGCACGTTATCTCTGGCAGCACAACACTGACAGAGTTTCAGAACTGCAAGTCTGATTCTGTTTTAGCTTGATATATCAAGTCACCTTGCTAAATGAGATTTATGGCAACTTCCCAGGACGCTTTATACCTGCCAATTATCACCTGAATAGAGAACACTCAGACTTCATGGAAGTTAAAACAGGCAGAGGGGTCTGTCCAGGCAGAAAAGATTGCAAGACAGACATGGAGGCTTAACTTCCAAAAACACTGCCCATTTCATTCACAGAGAAGGAATTTGCCCATGGCCCAGCACCGGCACAGCCTTGGGTAAACTCCAGCTCACAGGATCGTCACGGGTACTAAAGCATGAATCAGAAGAGGAACATTTTAATATTCAAACCTCAAATTGGCATTACCTAATGGGCAGTCAGAACAGCCAGCTTTCTATTCACGTACTCCTCGAATCTGACACAAATACCACAGGTGTAAAAAAAGACACCGCAACCCGACACAGGTTTCTCTGAAGACCCAGAACGTGAAAACGCTCACAAAAGCCTAACGCCTCCACCAACACACATCTCATATTTATGACTCCGACTGCCCAGGCAGCCAGTAGAGACTAATTTCACGCTCAGCTCCATTCCTGAGGTAGAAAGGGAAAATCGAGAGTCGGGAAGGAAGGTTTTAAGGAAGTTGCCTTCCCTAACCTGCCCTCAGGCAGGGGAGGCGGCCGGGTTGGGCCGGGCCTTCCCCCCGGGGAGGAGGCCGGGCCCCCCCGGCCATTTCCCGCCGGCCGTTACCTGCGCCCCCCCCCCCATAACCCTGGGAGGAGCACCTTGCTCTCCCCGGATTAACCGCCTCCAGACTCACCCTCCCGCCCCAGCCCTTCGTGTTCCTCGGCAAGACACCAGCGAGGGTAAAAGGCTATTTTTAGCGACTACCAAAAAAAAACAAACAAAAAAACCCAAACAAACACAAAAAAAACAAACCCCCAAAACAAACAACCAAACTCCCTGCAAGGCGCTGAAAGTCACCGCTCCTGCTCCCGGCTCGCTCCCTCCCGCGGTCAGAGCGCTGCGGATTCATAAGAAAGTTGCAAAAGCGGTGTTTTCAGACGTGATCTTCCCCCCGCTTCTTCCCCCCTCCCCGGCGCGGGAGAGCCCAGGTGGGCAGCAGCGGGCAGGCGGCCGCGGCCGGTCCCGGCAGCGGGGGACGGGGCCGCCGGGACCCTGCGGGGGCAGCTGCCGAGCCACCCGCCGCCCGGGCCCGGCCCCGGCGAGCGGGAGCACCGGCGGCGGCAGCCCTACCTGTACGCCCAGCCCCGCCCGTCCTCTCGCCTCTCCATCGGCCGCCCGCGCTCGGCCTCCCCCCCGCGCCGGGTGGGCTCTGCTCAGGCCGGTCACCGGCGCGGCCGAGGCCCCATGCGGAGCCGCTCCCCAGTTCAACTCTCCTGCCGCCCGCCGAGGGGGCGGGGGCGGCCGCCGGGTCCCGCCTCCCCTGCCCGGGGCCGGGCGGCGGGACGGGCAGCTCCGGGCCCGCGGGGCCGGGCGGCTTCTCCCCCCTCGTGCCGGGGAGCCGCCTCACCTGCGCGGCCCGGCTCCGGATTCGGCTCCGGATTCGGCTCCGGATTGGGCCCCGGCCCCGCTCCACGGGGCGCCTCGGGGGGTGGGGGGGCGGCGGGCACCTCGGCAGCACAGAGATGTCGGTCTGCTTCTGGTGCCGTTTTAGATCTGTGCGTTTCGCATTCCTGTCACGTCTTGGGGAAAAACTCAAGGGGTTTTTAGCGCCGGGGAAGCGTCTCGCTGACATAGGGTGAGAGTGGCAGCGGGTGCGGCCCTTCAAACCGAAGGAATTTTCCCGTAACCAAGGAGAATCGGTGGTCGTATTAGTGTTTAAATTCACGCGGCTGGTTTGGGCTTTTTCTCCCCCAGATCCTCACACTCTTCCGTTTAATTTCCCCAAATAATTCATGAAATTCAGGGCTTTGTTACACTGAAATATTACCAACTTCTGCTGACTTAGTTTCCACCGTACACTATCAATCATTTAAATATTATTTAAATAATAAATTGCAGGTTGCCAAAACCATGGAGTAATAATACCCCAAATTATACCCAAAAAAGGCTTCCCTGTTTCCAGAACCTGACTCTAACAGTTAGCACACTGCTCTTCATCTTCGGAGGAGTGGAACAAACTCCAAAACCCACATGGACTCTTCCCTACCTGCCTGCCAGCAGCTTAATTCATTACACACTGCGTAACAGAAAGGAAAGAGTGAAATTATATCCCTGCCTGTCCTTTTTGAATCAAGTTCTGACTTTGCAACCAGCAAAGCGCTTGGAAAATTACAGCTACTGCCGGAGAAACATTATCTCGTTCAGGCAGCGAGTGAATGTTGCTGAAGACAACAGATGGGATTTCACGAGGGAGATCAACAGTTGTTCCCTCCCAGCACACTCTTCGAGAAAGCTACCTCCTCTCTGCCGGATCAAAGGCAATCACCCACACAGAAATGTGGAAGTAGTTTGACTCCAACAGCAGGAAAAAAATACAGAGATTTGTACTTGGTTTAACTGCCATTACAGGGCTGTAAAAGTTTGTGATTGTTCAGAAAAACATAATTTTAACAACTTTTTTTTTTGGGGGGTGGGAAAATTCTGTGCTTCAGCAGGCGTAAGGCTTCTCCTGCAGGAGAGTAGTCCCACTCAAATTACTGTGCAGCGTCACGGACACGCTTGGGTACTGGCAGGACTGGAACCTGATTACAAACCAGCCCGGGGAGAGCCGGCTGGTGCCCGTGCCAAGCCTCTGCTTTGACATCCCGCCAGCGTTGCCTTGGCGGAGCGTAGGCAGAGGCACGCTCTGCAAACAGCTCTGCCCCAGTGACTTGGTCAAAGTCACGTAGATAATCCTTGGCAGAGCTGTGAATAGAAGGAGGCGATGCTGTCCCACAGAAGAGAAGAAGGAAGCCTCAGTTAGGCAGAATACCCCTTTCTCCCCCAAATCCTGAAGCTGGAGGCTTGTTTGGTATCAGGGTTATACTTCACCTGACAAGGTCAGGCTCTTTGGTGCATGTTCCTTTTAAAATGGTTCCATGGAAAGTTCCCTGAAAACAGCAGATTGTTTTTGTAATTAATTAAGGGTACATCTGCAGTGCATCAAGGGTAGCCTTGTGCACACCACAGTGAATTTTTACTGCCAGCAAGCCTTAAATGTTATATACAGTTTCTGTTGCTCTAATACAAGCATAGCAACTGTGTGGTTCACTGATATTTATGCCTGCTTCACACAAAGTCTCCTATTAAGAAACTTCAAGTAACCCCTGATAAGGAAGCTACTTAGAATGTTAATTGATTTATAGAAATAATTCCTAAATATCAGTGCAGTAACTGGATCCTCATATTGTGCCTGATAATACAAACCAGCGTACTGTCTGACAATGAATAATATGTTGGCTGTCCTTCACAGGGTATCAATGCTGCTCTCTTCTGGGCAAATTGTATCATGCTGCTTTTAAAGGCATTCAAAGAAACTAATGCATAAACCCTCGAATCTGAAAACTGGATGTGCTTGGTGTTGTGATCAGCAGAAGAGGATACTATTTACCTTTGATCCTTTACTTCTGAAGGGGTTCGTGGCAGTGGCAGAGTGCAGGAGGGCAGACTTAGGTGACGTTCAGGACAGTGAAGCTCACAGCTTCCCTACCTTCCACCTGGCCCATAGGAAATGTACCTTATGTAACTTTTTTTCCCTCTTTTGCATCTGAACCTTATCCCTGACATTTTTACATAATGGTGAACGTGTCTGGTAGAAATTCTCATCCTGCTGCTGCCAGAGTAAGTCCTTAAAATAGTGACTTCCCTTTATGGGTAGGCATTTAGATGTGTTCCCTGCAAAGGCAGATGAAGACAGCAGACGTGTTTCACAGGCCCAGACATTCAAATCTTCTCTTGCCTTATATCCTGTATTTTAGTGAACAAGGCTTCCTTACTTGTGTTTGCACAGCAGTTTTTGTTAAATAACAATACCAGCAAAATTGTCAGCCTTATCGGGAATTAGTCTGGGGTGGCTTTACGCTTCCCAAAGCTGTGAAATGTGTGCTACGCCACATATGCTTGATGTATCAGCAGTGCTAAAAAGTGGTCCAGCTCCTCACATACCACCCCAAGGCTGTTGTTACTTTTCGGCCAGAAACTGGGGAAGGAACATCAGGAGAAAGCCTTTGATAATACTTGTGCCTGAAAGTATTTCCTCAGCTGCCTGTGGGGGCTGTGAAGATTCTTTATCTGTTCAAGAATTAAAAAAATATCTTCCTTATTTTTGGTATCATAAGTGTGTCAGTTTTCTTGCCCAAGGTTCTTTTCGCTGGCTACAGGGAGGTCAAAGAAAAGAAAGTGTTAGGAGGAAGCAGAGCGCAATAGAATCAAGAATGAGAGGTGTGTGTGGAAATAGTGTGCCTACTATTTTTAAGACAGCACAGGTAGACCTGTTCGTTGAGAAATACTAGTGAGAAACACCATTCCCAGCAAAGCTAGCAGCTGTACTTTTCCAGATCCAGACAGTAAGGTTTTAAAACACCCTAACCACTCACAAAATGTTTAATAGCCCCTGTTCAGAAAATGTGAATGCAGCAGCATTGGAGAAGAGATAACAAGATAATTTTTGCTAGTGACTGAGTGTTGTAGTATCCCAAGTAAATAACAAAATTCCCGCAGCATATGTGGCTTCCCTAGCTTGTGTGGTTTGATATACAGCCACTCAGCTTTGTGTCTGTACTTAGTAAACCACACCACGCAAGCATAACCTGCTTTGTTAGAGCTCTACTGTGCATCCATTTGGCTTGAATTACTGTCCCATGACATGAAAAAAATCTGCTACTCCATGCTTGGGATAAACAGTTTAGATTAAGCAGATTTGGCAGTATAGAAATTTCCTAAGAAGTAAATGTGTGTGTGTGTGTGTGTGTGTGTATACATATATATATATATTTTAATCACTGCAATTCTGTGTTCTAACCTAGGCACAGTGTGCTCCAGGACTAGACAACTCATCCAGTTAACAAGGTTAAGGAATGCCACCATCTCATTCAGACACCTTTGGTTCCTGTTACAACCAGGTACCTACTAAGTTCAGTCAACCTTTGCCTGTGTATGGATTGAGGCTCTGGACAGGTATTGAAATGCTGAACTTGCTCCATATTTTTGTCCCAGAAAATTGCGTCATGCTTACATAATTGTAGTCTGCAGGCCTGATTAAACCTGTTCATGTGAATTGTTCCAACAACAGTCACTGAACTTTAGAACAGACTGCATAGCAAGGACAGAAACGTATTTTTTAAAGTTAATTTCCTCTATTCCCTGAAGACTTCACAGCTTCATGTCTATGAAGGTTACTAGCTGGTAGGACAAGTTACAAATCCACATGTGGTCCAGGAAGTGCCAGTATTTTGATTATTCTCAGTATGACTGCGGCCCCAGGAGTCAAAGCATACTGATATGGGCAACTATAAAAAGGAACTCCAAAGCTTGCTGCAAACCACTGCAGCTGCCTGGAGAATCAACATTAGCCATGGAAATCTCTGCAGAAAGGTTTTTGCACTCAGCTGCCATCCTCCAGCTGCATCAGGAAAGAAGGCTCAAGGCTGTGACAATGCTAGAAAGAACATGGAAAGACAAATAATATGGTAGTACCCTCAGTGTGAAAAACATGGTAAAATTATATGTCAAAACTGATATGGAAAAAATACTTGAACATTATTAGCAGGAAGGGTTCCTAAGACAGGGACAAGGATGTCCTTAGAAAAAGGTCAGTAACTATCACAGACCAGTAACCCAGGAACTGAGTAAACCAAAAGAGAGATTCATAGTGGTTAATTACTTGATGAATCTGGCTTAGGTCAGGCAGTAACTCTGTAAAGCATGTTTGTTATCTCAACTGACAAAATGAAGTATTTTCTAGATGGCTTTGTTCTCTCTGGTTTGTTTTTCATTATCTACTTGAATGATCATGAGGGGTAGACTGAAAGCACTTTAAATTCATGCTGATGATGTTTACTTTCCTGACTGCATGAATATAAGGCTTATAACTGAACTTTGAAATTTATCAGGGAGAGATGACAGACAAGATTGGAGATTATTAACTCCTTATTTCTCCCATCTTCTTTTTCCTTCTTGTCCCTATTTGTGAAGGCATCATGCCTATCAAATCCGACAGCTCCAAGACCTACTGATTAGGGCATGGGATTTAACCTGGATGTTCTCTGGCTGTGTACAATGATTTTACGTTTGGTCCTAGTTGGGAAACGTGAAGGCAAACCTTCTCCTGACCTCCAGTTGCCTCTGCATTAAGACTTCTGCAAGGACTCTCATTTCAGTCATCTCAAGCAGTATCCTATTCCATGAGAAGGCAGAGCTGTCACAACAGGTACTTAAATACAATCATTGCATGTAAATACATAGTGTTAGCTGTGAAGAACATTATCTATTTCACTTAATTGTCTCTATGCAGTTAAGGGT